CCCTTAATAAGGATGTCATAAAAGGACCCTTTTCCACACCTTTAGGCGTATTAAGGAATATAGGGCCAGACCTATATTTTTATAGACCAATCGGCACTTGGTGGGTGATGCGGTCAGTATCCCGCTGGCCGCCTTTATTTCCCAGGACTGCATTTGGTCCCCATTCAAGGCTGGGTCGACCTGGGAGTCAAGGTCATTTTTTAAGAAACAACCCAGCTCCGTCAGGACGCGAACCCACGACCTTTCGATCCACGGGCAGGCGTTTAGTCGCCCCGGCGACTCCCTTGTAGGATCGCTCTTGGCCAAAAGGAGCTATCCTTGGCATACCCATAAGTACTGTGATCTTCTAAACATGTTTCTTGAGTGTTTACAGTGATGACTCTGCTTCTGTATCAACTGGTGTAGCTGACTGGGAAGTCTTGCATGGTTTGTTAGGTCAACACTGCTCTGACAGATATAAAGCTAGACTTCACATCCAAGTCGGACATAAATCAGTATCCTTAGCAAATGTCTACCATTTAGCATTAATTACATCCACTTCCAATTTACCATGGGTTTCACATTACCCAGCTGCAGCGCAGTAAAGGAAAGGAGGTGGCGTCTTTATTCTTTGATATAGGATACCTTTACTCTGCCAAAAATGTCATAACATAAAGATGTTTCTATTAATCTAAATAAAACATTATCCCTTTTTTTTTTAAATAGAAACACACAGGATATAATGAGCAATTTAGGGTGACTGACATTTTGTTTGGGAGAAGCTTTACTTTGTACCTCTTCAAAGAGCGAGCAGATGCTACAAATTAAAAGAACCTGTCTTAAATAATAGCAGATGGCAGGAAGTGGAAAAGTAAGGACAAGGGATGGGGATGATTTATTTAATATGATTAGAATGATGTTTTAAAAGAACTCTTGGTAATAAAAGTTCAACTGCATGGTTTCTTTTAAATTATACAACAATTAACAAAAAACTAATAGCGATAGAAAAAAGGATATGGATTTCTATACTACTCCACATTATTTGGAAAGCGTATGTAGGAATGAATAAACTAACTTTATTTTCAAAGTGTTAAAAATGTGGGAACCGTGGCCTATCTTAAATTCAGCTCTTTAGAGTGCAACCTTAGCACTTTTATTAGTATTCCCAACACACCAGGTTAACACAAAAAATGTTTTCAAAAACTACTTCAGTAACAAAACAGCATACTCTGGAGAAGCCATGAAACCTACATGAATTGAGTTGCTACATGCTGCGGGATACACTTAGGAGTGGATCAGAGTACTTCTGGTTCAATGTACAGTAAACCAGATTTGTTTACTTAATGAATCCTTCAAGCAACAAACACAGTGACAAAACATTCATCATGAAGGTTCACAGGAAGACAATAATGTGGAGTGGGGAAGAAAGAAACAGAAGAGAGACAGGAGAGAAGAGAAAGGGACAGCAGAGAGTTAAAGAAAGAAGAGAGGGGAGGAGAGAGAGAGGAGAGGCAGAGGGAGAGAAAGAGACAACTGACTGCAGGCACACACACAAAAATATATATACATTCATTCACAACTAAAGTAAGGGTATTTAGTGAACTGTGTGCCAAGTCCTGAATGATAATGAATAGATAAAATGCAGGCCGCTGAAATCTTTCAGCCCCAAGTAACGCATAATACGTTTATAGGGTCCTATCTAAAACCCAATGCATGCAAGATGCACTAACTTTCAAGTCTCTCTTGACTATTCCGTTGGGACTTTGATGCTAAATCTGACTGAAAGAGTTAAGACAATCTCAAACCTTACTAGCTTCTGTTGTGAAAACGAATTGGTTAATTCCCAGCAATTGTTCATGCAAAAATTATTATCTGGGTAAGTGGAATTTATAATATCGGAAGAACCATTCCTTAGGTCCCCAGCAAGTTCTTCTCAGGTCTGCATTCTACTGCTTAGGCTGGCATTCAGTGATGTACGAGTCAGATTTTGTCTTCCAAGAATGACCTTGGCTCCCAAACCACCCCAGCCTAAAAAATGGGTACCAGGCAGAGTCCTAGGAAGTAAAGGCATCCGGTGTCATGTTGACAACATCATCCACTGAGTGAGGTTTTATCTATAAAATACAGGCCATGGATAGGGCTCCTGCACTTATAGGTGTGTGTGCATGCGTGTTTCTAGTGTCCATTGTATTTTCTTCTTCTTCTTGTTTCACCGGCTGTGAATTCCGGCGGTAAGTCGCAATTGTTCGTCCAAGTGGACTTTTGGCTTTTGCCTTAACCTGAGTTTTGCGTGTACATCCGTTTTACTAGCTTATTTGTTTGCAGTCCTCGTTCCCTGCCTCTCCGGCAGATGTACTCCGACTTCGAGGGACATTTATTTTCAATGTGTGCCTTTTTTAAATATATCTTTAATCATTTTGTTTAGTCATTCATGTTTATGTTGTATTATTTGAAATGTCACCCTTCTGAGTTATAACTAGCAAAGATAGTATATAATTAATTCTGTGATAATATCTGTAACTTATGACTTATTTTAACTGAATCTTACTTTGAAATAGTTCTGAAAAATGTTGAACACTGTTTAAAAAAAAGGAATAATTTTATATTTTAAAAAATTTTCAAAGATTACATTAGTATTTCTTCACACCACCTGTATCTGGATTTTAATTTCAGTTATACACTGCTTGATAACCCACCCCCCACCCTCCTTTTCCCCTAATCTAGCGAGCTGTATATTTGCATTACATTTTCAAATATCACCAGCAAGTAACAGTCATTCCTATACTCAATTACTGGTTTACTTTAAATAATATAACAAGGGCCAGAATGACATCAGAAAATTATAAGTGTATAGCCTTGTTTACATATAGCCTGAATCACCCAGTTTAAGACCAGTTCATGCTTATCATTGTAGAGGTCATGGGTTCAATTTACAGTTAAGCTAGGATGACCTTTTCCTAACCAGGCAGTCTGGGGGTAAAGACCTCACAGTTATGGATGGACTTCTATATACAAAATATATATGTGCGTGCGTGTGTGTGCGCGTGCGTGTGTGTGTTTGTCTAAAGAGAGAAATATAAGCAAAAATATTCCTATAAACATAAAGGAAATAATGATCACCTCAACTAAACAATTTCATTCATCACATTAACGATAAATAAACATAAAATCTGCACTGCTTTTTCTTCTTCTCCTAAGTATTCAAACTGCTTTAAGGGTAGGTGTGCTGCGAAAAATCTGTTGCCCGATAAGCGTGCCATGGTGAAAACAAGTTTGAGAAATTCTGCAACAGGGGTGCCCTGTTGACCATATTTCCTGCATAAAATAAGTAGTGTTGTCTATTTCTTCTATGTTAATATTAGCAACGACAGACTAAGATTCGGTAACTATGGAAAATATGGAAGATGTTTCCTTTCTGTTGTCCTTTAAAAAGAATATGTTTATAATATATAAAAAATGGTTTGTGACTTCACAAAGGTTATTAGCCATGCCTAGATTTTGGTACTCAATAATTCACCTGCAGAATGCTAATCCGAACTCGTCTCATCATGAGTTAATTTGTATAGAAAGTATCCAGTAATTAAATTTAACATATTATCTGAACATTTAATAATAACATATCTCAAGCAGGGTGGGAAAACTGGCCCACCTATCAATTACTGCTGGCCTGTGAAGCTGGTGTAAATCTACTACATAATCTGGTTTTTCCCAGCATATTCCCTCAGTAATATTTATATCTGCACATTTTTTTTAGTATCCAGAAGCCATGAGTTTACCTTTAGGCTCGGTATTATGGATATCGCAACCCTTCGGCCTTGATTTCATGATAAATACCGTAAATCTGCGAAAAATGTGGCTTTTCTGCCTACCCCCTGACGTGAACCCAGACCACAAGGAGTTCGTCACCCGGTCACCGTGCAATCCGGTTTAGCCATCTACGCTAGAGAGCAGGGCATATCTGCACATAACCAGCGTGAATAGACACATTTAGGAAAATACAGAAGGGCTTCAGTGGGTGAGTGTGTCTGGCCAGAGGCATAGTGAGGGATTAAAATCTTTGTCCGGGTAAATACTGTGTTAGTAGGAAATCTGGGTGATATGTTTATAATGGATTTTTCTCTTCCTGGAAACAAAACAAAAAGGTTGCCCACCTCTGATCTAAAGCAACAGCAAACTACTGAAAAAAAAACTGCATAGTGAAATCACAAACAGCCAAGACATGATGGAGCTGGTTCTACAACAAAGATATGCAATGAACTAAATAAAATCTCTGGAAAAACAGAAGGCTATAGATAAACAAATGCCCAAAGAACAAAATCAGATGGCCTAAATAGACAAACATCACAGCTCAGCTGTTACTGATAAAAATAGCTAGAAAAGAAATGCACTTGTTAATAATACATACTGCTTGGAACTATTTTATCTGTTTTGTGGCTCTGTGGTTTTAATATTAGTAATATGATTTCACAATCCTATATTTTACATCCTATATAATCACTGCTGGCTGGCGGACCAAAGCTGCCTATGGAGGCCAGGCATGTTGCCTGTGGATCACTGACAACTGTACTGGATTAATGATATTTCTATGTTGAAAGCTCAGACTTCTGGCCTGTACTGATCACTATTATTTCAAAGTTTTGGCCCCGGAGTAAACTTAGTTGAAAAGCCCTGCTCTACACAATAGGGTTTGATTTCTTAGAAAGACAATTCTTGTCATTTTTATATAGTTATAGCTACATAAATCTACAGTCTAATCAGACTGTGTCATAAATTCAGATGTGAATGACAGGTCTAAATGTTTTCTTTTGTTAATTTAGGAAATTCACTAATTCAGAATAATTACTAATATCTTCTTCATGTTGACTGGCTGTAAACCTCTGGAGGACAGTTCTGGTTGTTCGTCCACTTCTGGACTTTGAGGTACTTTTACCACATGCCCCCCTCCCCCCCCTCCCCCCCGAAATTTTTATTATAAAATTAAAACACGGGTGACAGGTGTAAAATGTTGAATGAAATAATACCTGAATGTGGAAAGATGCTGCCCCCACCAGGTCTGGTGTGCGCACCGTCACCCCCATGAAAACCGCCGCCACCACCCCCATGAAAGCCGCCACCACCACCTCCTGGTCGTTTTGTGGGTTCTGAGGTATCCGTGGCATTCTCCCCGACACACAGTCCAGAGGGTGGGAACTGATCACACTTCAAAGTCTCCGGCCACTCAAATCCGAACTTGTTCATTAAGCTCTCACAACCTGTCCTCGCCTCGTTACACAGAGATCGGCACGGCGGGATAGCATCCTCCAACACGGTGCAAACGGGTACGTACATGGTGCACAGGAAAAACTTCAGCTGTTTACTGCACTGCACTTTCACCAACGGGAAAAACTGGTGTACCTCTAATCCCGCATCGTCCTGTTTCATGTGGTTGAGTAAATTGGGCATGATTGTTTCATTGTACTGAATATCTTTACACAGTGGTATGGTAATTTTCTCGCACTTTCCATGCGTAGCGACGTACTCGGACTCCTTCGAGTATTGGTTCGCGCTTACCCGAGCACTGCAGACTAGAAACATACACAAAACAGAACTAATAACGAGCGTACACCAAGTCCGCCTGGAATACTCCGTGAGGGACTCCTGGGCCGCCATCTTGAGAAACCGATTTTATGCTCCTCCTGGAAAACAAAGACGACCCGATCCTGTGAAGTCACATCAACATTTTCACTTAACCCGCCAGCACACAAGTAAATGTTTAAGTTATTTCTGAATTAACACATCTAACAAGCACGGGGTGTGTATTTGTGAACTCCAGTCTTGATTAAAAGTTGGTACCGGCGATGATTCACCCGTTTTGTTTAGCAGATCAGTTGTGAACAACAATGCTTGGTCTCAGACAAGGCCAGCCCGGGCAGACTACAACAAATTCCACCATCTCCTTGCCCGCGCCGCATTCGGTCGGGGTTTGGACACCAGCCAGCCAATCAGAGGTGCCCGTGTTACAGGACTCGGCGGTCCCATTGGCTGACTGAACGCCACAGAATGCGCTCTTGTGTTTACCTCCCGATGAATTCAACCGCCGCGCCGTGAGCGAGGGGATTTCAGCTAGGAGTTCTCAAACTTTAGAGATAGGGTCACTTCAGGGAAATAAATACGTTCTTCCTCCGTCTGTCTGTCTCCTTCCCCCCCCCAGGCTGCTAATCAGTGGCCTTTTTCCTTTTCGCGTTCACCGGCTGTGAACTCCGGCGGAAAGTTCAGGTTGTTCGTCCACTTCTGGACTCTGGTCCTATTTCAGAAACTGAGTGTTGAGTGCACATTCGTTTCACAGGTCTAACTCATTTGCATGCAAACTGTTGGTTCCTTGCCTCTCATGCAAACGTACTCTGACTTCGATGAAAGCTCCCAATTAGTCAGCTCTTACGACAAGCTTTTGTGTAAGCAGTGGGTCTATTCTTGTTTTCTCTACAATGGGGCCATAGAACCCCCATAGGGATAATCAGTGGTGAGGCGTGATCAATTCTCATTAAAAACTTTTGCAGGTAAGATTAACAGGAGAGGGTATCATGTGATTCCCCCCAGGCTCGTCGCTTCTCTGTTGAGAATATGCGTGTGCATGTAGCATTGTAGTACTAGTAACTGCTAGCTTTTAGCCGGTTCAGTTTATTAATTAAGGGTTTAGGCATGCAGCAAGCGTTCTTTTGCTATGCTCGAGACGTGAACCGAGTGGTGTATTTGTAATGAATGGTTAACAGTAATAATAAATAATTTGTCTATGGCAATGGACAGTGTAAGTGGCGACTGAAGTTGTTACACACAGGTCTCACGACTGCTTCGACTTTAAGAGTGGCAGACCACACGGGCAAATCTAAGACACCACTTTCAACCCTTTAAAAAGTTATAATTAGGGTATCAGTAGCGGCTGCTCTATAAATATATCGATTCTTTATGCATATGTTTCTATACGGCCTTCCTTGCGAATTCTCAGGAAGAAAGAGTTTTACCTCTTTCAGTCCCACATGCGCATTACGTGAGCTGAGTGTCTCCTTGTGGATATCAACCAACGCACCATGTGCTGTGTCACTTTTTTTTTTTTTTTTCAGAGAATACTCAAGAAATCTGGCTTTCTTTGTGACTATGTTCAGTCTTACTGGAGAAAAGTTTAACTTCTGACTTAATTATTTGTGATTTCGTCCTTGCTGCTCTACTGCAAAATCTGTTGGGACTCAAATACCTAATTCTTAAATCTGACAATGTGGTCTTTAGGTTGTCTCAATCGTGAAAAGGGTTTTATCTATCGGTCTGAGGTTGTTTGTTTGGTGTCGACTTTTCTGCCAGCCCGGTACCATTTCACTGGAGAGTGATATCAATGTTAACTTTGGAGTGTTATGGGGTTGAGGTCCCAATCTCTTCCACGATGGCCAGCCGTGTTCTATATCGTGTCCCCAACTGCCAAAACAAACCTACCATTGCTATCTGTATTTACCACTGTTGCTGTGTAGGCGGGTGGTGGTGGTGGCCGGAGAGGGGAGGGCGGTCTTTGAGCATGAAGATTTAAGGCCGCATGGTTAGTGCAGTCGCGCGGACTGTGAAACCAACACAAAGCGGTATGTTGCCAAATCGCTAGCAGATGGGAGCCAACCAGGCACTACAGAAATACGAAGCGCGTTCGCAGCGCCTAAAGACATGTCACTGCATAAAAACCATATTGTAGGGAAAAGAATGCAAGCAAGCAAGATGCTGACAGCGACACAGTTGGGAAGATAACCTGAAGAGATGAACGAACAGCAGTTTCAGAGGTAGACATCCAGAGCGAAAGAAGGAGTGGTGGAGATCAATTTCAGCCATCTTTCACTGTGAAGACGGCACCTGAATGAAATATTACGTGTGCTGCTACTTTTGAAGCTCAAACACCGACATGGTGTGCTCAAATCGTTGCTGGGAATATTACAATAGTACCAGATTCAGCACAACATATATTATCTGACTTAGACCGGGTCGGTAAAGTTTCATCTTAGTTCACACACATCTTCACTGCACATGAACCCATTCAGTCCATAAGTTCACGGGTCTCCTTTCCCCTGTCCGTAAAATTATAATTAACATCTCAAGGTAAAGAATCAAACAGACGCAAACCCCAGATTCAGCTTTCCATCGTTATATTACAGTTACGACTTAACATGTAGTACAGTAGGTAAAGGCGATACAGAAGGAGCTGTTACAGGTTCTAGCTCTCGTGCTAGGTAAAAATAATCGTATTCATCATGTAGCTCCCGTGCTAGGTAAGTTTAATCTTATTGATCTGTAGCTCCCGTGCTATGTAAGTATAATCCCAAACTCTAGTCTTATAGTATAGACACTGATGACACCGGTCATGTGTTGGTTTTGTATACTTCTTTGGCTCTGTCAATAGACTAAAACCTAGCGTGCAGAAGGGCTTATATGCTCATAGTAACTAATATACTTATGAAGACAGACGGTACACCATGTTTTGATATAGTCGAGCAGACGTAAGTAATAAATAAGCAAAACAATTTACCAAGGCCTCATAAATGTTGTTTTATAAAAGAATCCTTGGAATTCCTTGCACGACCAGACGGAGCAGCCCGGATGTTTTGGAAAAGGCGAGATCTGAAAAAAGAATTTATTACAAACACCAGAAAGAGATAGCCATAAATTTTCTTTTTTGGGTCACATTATGTGACACTGGAACGTGTTGTGACCGCTTTAAAGATCTGTTAGGAAAGAGACAGATGATGACAACGAGAAAAGATTCTTGACAACTTTCTGCCATGGCACGGAGGGTTGTCAGCACACGAACTGATACATGAAGTTGAAGATCGCAGATTGAGGAGAGGCATGTCGCCCAAGCCGGTGAGCAAGGCACTTGATCATGACGATGATGATGATGATGATGACGCGCACTCGCGGTTGCGATGTACACGTTAAGAATCGATTCTTATAGAGCTAACTTTCTCTTCAGCGGCTGCGAATACTTTGTGTAAAACATCTTACTCTTAATTCACAATTAGTAAGGACTGTCTTCATATAACTTTAGACTGACTCATGGGTGCTCCAGAGCTTTTATCTGGCGATGATCAACTGTACGACGCACCGGCAACTTTTAAAACACCTACTAATTTTTCAAGACTGACGGTTTAAAAAGAAAAACAATGACATTTTTATTGGCTACTTTAATAAACACTGTATTTGTGGTGTGTACAGACAGTCTTGTTGCATGGCACACGAACTGATACATGCTGCAGGAGATCGTGGATTATGGAGAGGCATGATCGCCCACGCCAGTCGGCAAGGCACCTGATGATGACATACATCTTGCTTGTTTTCTGCCTGGTTCCAAAAGTATACAACTACCGAACACAGAGGCACAGACAGATCATTACGATCTGGGGAGAATGGCGCTGCGAGGAGTTACCAGGGGATCTGACCGGCTCTCAGCACTCAGGCGAAAGGCGAGACGGATATACTGTCAGACAGTTACAACGGAACTGGAACTCTTCGCTTGATGCTGAAGATGGGGACGGGGCGCTTATGGGGGTGCCCCGAGTGCTGTGATGTCGATTCTTAATTCAACAACTACGATCACGTTTTTTCTGTGTTAATCTTGTGGAACGTTTATGTCTAGCTGCTCTAGATATACCCTCATAACTACCAACTTGGACAGAAGTCATACTCAACAACGTAAATCATTGAACTCTTCATAGTGAATATTTCTTTGTCTGACGCTTAGAAACTATGCTTAAGAATGGGCCGTGTGAACTACCAAGTTGAGAACCTCTGACAACAGCTACCCGTTTCTGCTGTTTAACCCGGGCTGAGGCTCTTTTAGATAGACTTCCCAGGCATAACGTGAACTAAGCCAAGCGCTAGGCTCACTTTAGTTTTCTGTTGAATCTTTCCTTTCTGCTCTCCCCGTCACACAATAGCTTCCAAACAGCTGTAAGAAAATAGTTTGGGGGATGTTCGGGTTAAAATTTCATCATTATTCTTACCAAAGCAAAGGCAGTTTCGTAAACTCACACATCTGCCAATTTCATGTAATGTGGCAAGATTTGCAATCCTTTTAGTCTAGAATGGAGGGTGCATAGCTTTCTATTAGGATTACACAGAACGTTACGGATCAAACAATCTGGAAAGAAAACATAGCGGCGAGTGCCTGCGTGTGCTGGGGACTGACGATGTGTGGTGTGGCGGGTGTGTGTGTATAGCGCCTACCCTTTACCAAATCACAACGGCCCTGACGAGGCGTAACCATGGACCATAAAACTCAGCCACCCTGGCTGTCAGGCACGAGAGATCATGAATAGAAGCAATTATTGCTCTGTTCATAAAAATCTGTGGAGTTATATACACGCCTCTCAGCCTCACTAACCCCGCGCAGACGGTCTTTGGTAGCTTGTGCCTATTTTTAAGACAGGCTCTTCGCTCGATTACCTGAATGATTGTTTTTATATCAACTCCCAGCAGAGCGTCTTAGGCTGGAGAAAACTAGAGAAAAGAAATTAGGGCATCTGCAGCCTATCACCATCATCAATCAGCAAGTCCTTTACAGAACGTCGCTCTCTTCACGTATAAAAGTATAAATTTCCCTAGCCAGCTCTCCAAACCCATGTGCTTTTATTTCCAATGTATCT